ATCAAGTGCTTTATGTCGTCTACACAGTGTTCGATTCGCTGATAAGAGATTGTTACTCAACTTACTGGTAGTGGTTTGAAAGCCAGATAGATCTGACTGTCATCAGCGTAGAGGTGAAACTCGAGGTTTTGTGCTCTGGCGATATCACCAGCTGGTAGCCTGTATATAGTGAACAGGATCGGCCCAAACACAGATCCCTGTGGAACACCATGAAAAAGATCTTTCTTCTGTGGGTTTACACCACCGATACTTACAACCTGTCGTCTTCTGGACAAGTACGATCGGATCCATTCCAAAGCTGAACCCTGGACGCCGATCCGGTTATCCAGCACATTAAGAGGCACATTGTGATCCACAGTATCGAATGCTGCTGATAAGTCTAATAGCACTAAGATAGCTGCTCCGTGTTTGTCAAGGGCAGTCTCTGTGCTGTGGTCTACAAACAGGCTGCCACTGGATGAGTGAGTGTATTGGATTGAATCCACTGTCGCAATTCAACACAGTTATAACGCAGACTGTCGACTTAATGTCCATGGAATGCGGGTATATAACTAGTATCACTTTAGTGAGAAACTTCACGAATCACAATGAAGACAAATCAGGATTTGCTGAGCGAGATCAGTAGAAACTATTTTTACTGTTTCCTTGAATGGTACGAACTGATTTTGAATCTATAAAACTTCGCTTAAAAGACGTTACTAGTGACAACGACGCAAGCAATATGGCAACACTCCATTTCACCTCATCCTACCCGGTACCCATACACTGGCGGATGAACATATCTATATGTTGCATCTGTCTTTCTGTTTGTCTACAAACATGAGCTGCCTAGAGTTTCATGGGTAACCCTTTACGTCTGATTCAGTGTACTTATGACAGGTGTTTTATTTTATATATTGTATGAAGTCCCATTTAACTATCATTTGTACTGACAGCATCTGACTAAAATGTGATAACAAATATGTAATCATTATGCCACGTAAATTAGTTTCAGTACTGTTTGAGTTTCCTTGCCTAGTAGCAATATTGGATGCATATTGTTTCCACAAATGTGAAATTTCAGTTCACATCGTGACTATATAAGCTATTTTATTAACACAAACAAACGTACACGGTATGGATATCTGTCAACAAAGGACAGTAACGTGACTAGAATATCACAGAGTTTCATTTAAAACTAGCAAGGAACCATAGCCAGGTATTTCTATACACGACACATAATGCTTACAGGTTACAGATCGCCAGCAACTGAATGTGGATCACCTAGTTTGGATCCTATTCCGTATTATTGCACAATTATTGATAGAATTCACATGTCTAAATAAATATATGAACATCCATTAGGTCTGTATAATTGTAGAACATAATAATAGTGATATATTGGACATGAATCTATGCTGCCTCCTTGCACACAGGGATACACATGGCAAAGAAGGCACTGGCGAGGTTGCAGCATCCTGAAAGAAGAAATATACGTGGCATCACGCAGCGAATAGCCAGCACAATGGGCAATGTGTCCGAACTGCGACACGGGACAAGGATCGTCAGACAGTTGAGACTAGTACATAGAATCAACAATCAGTTTCAGGCAGCTTACACTAGTACATAGAGTCCGCAATCTATTCCAGACAGTTGAGACTAGTACATAGAGTCAGCAATCAATTCCAGACAGTTAAGACTAGTACACAGAATCAACAATCAGGTTCAGACAGTTTAGACTAGTACAGAGAGTCAGCAATCAGTTTCAGACAGTTTAGACTAGTACAGAGAGTCAGCAATCAATTCCAGACAGTTTAGACTAGTACAGAGAGTCAGCAATCAATTCCAGACAGTTTAGACTAGTACATAGAGTCAGCAATCAATTTCAGACAGTTTAGACAAGTACATAGAGTCACCAATCAGTTTCAGACAGTTTAGACTAGTACATAGAATCAACAATCAGTTTCAGACAGTTTAGACTAGTACAGAGAGTCAGCAATCAATTCCAGACAGTTTAGAATAGTACATAGAATCAACAATCAATTCCAGACAGTTGAGACTAGTACATAGAATCAACAATCAATTCCAGACAGTTTAGACTAGTACATAGAGTTAACAATCAATTCCAGACAGTTGAGACTAGTACATAGAATCAACAATCAGTTTCAGACAGTTTAGACTAGTACACAGAGTCAACAATCAATTCCAGACAGCTTAGACTAGTACATAGAATCAAAAATCAGTTTCACACAGTTTAGACTAGTACACAGAGTCAACAATCAATTCCAGACAGTTAAGACTAGTACATAGAATCAACAATCAGTTTCGGACAGTTTAGACTAGTACACAGAGTCAACAATCAATTCCAGACAGTTAAGACTAGTACATAGAATCAACAATCAGTTTCGGACAGTTTAGACTAGTACACAGAGTCAACAATCAATTCCAGACAGTTAAGACTAGTACATAGAATCAACAATCAGTTTCGGACAGTTTAGACTAGTACAGAGAGTCAACAATCAATTCCAGACAGTTTAGACTAGTACACACAGTCAACAATCAATTGCAGACAGTTTAGACTAGTACATAGAGTCAACAATCAATTTCTGACAGTTTAGACTGGTACAGAGAGTCAACAATCAAGAGGAAGAACCCGTTTTTGCCAATCAAAACCACATTGGCCTCCATAATGCCACAACATCGTGTATTTGATAAACGTGTTTCGTGGTCTAGTAGAGGTTCAACAGTTGTAATGGTTGACACTGAATTGTCATCCGTCAAACTACCAGGAACATTGTATGTATCAGCAGTTAGAGAACAATCGACGTCATCGTGCTGGCTGTCGGAATTCCACCACACATCATTGTTCTCCACGCTCTGAAGCTTTAGGCATACTCTCAAGGCAAACTGAGACAGCTTTCTGGTCCGCCAATGTAGACGATGCTTGGTCTAATGAGAGATCCCGCCAGGCAAACATGAAATCCAATAGCACCCAAAATAAGCAGCGTTCCAGAAAGATTGTACAATCTGCAGGGGAAGTCTGTCTTCTACATGCACTAGGCTGTTGTGTTTGGGCGTTTGAATCAAACATGGTGCTGGTGTTTCAGCATCCTTGCATTTCATTTCACTCAAACTCAACGAACATTGAATCAGTTGCTTCACTGCATGTTCCAACATGTCGTTTAAAGTGCCTATAAAGCACACAAAAAGTTGCAGTTACCTTAGAGTATAAATGACCTCACCACGTTTCAGCTTATATACGACTATCAAAGTTAACTGTGTTCCCTTATTTTTTGTTTGTAGTTTATATTACGACGGTCCGTAAATAATCCAGTCTGGTCAAGACAATCCTGTGATTGACATCATTGGCATCGGTGTATGCAATTAGGGAAACTATGAGAGGCATCGACCCAGCCAGACCACACGATCACGCCTCTTACGAAAAACGTGGGTTGCAGAAAAAAAACAGTTCTGCAAACCCAATATCGGGTAAATACTGGCATATGAGTTGTACGTTATGCCACAGTCAGAATATAATACTCAACTGACTGAATGAGTTTAGTTTTACGCCGCAATCAGCAATATTCAGTCTATGTGGCGGCGATCTTTCAGTAATCGAGACAATCCAAAGATCAATAGCATGAGCATCGATCTACGCAACTGGGATACGATGACATGAGTCAGCCAAGTCAGTGAGCTTGACCACACGATCCCGTCAGTCGCCTCTTACGACAAGCATGGGTTACTGAGATAATCAAGTGATTTGACTTCATCAATGTATGCCAACACAGCCCGTTCGTTCGTGACAAACACTCCAAACTGTGTTGAGGCTGTTAAAGCACTCTCATCAGAGATCTTCTAGCCATGAATACTATTGTAAACTTATAGGTACTCTCTATCACTGGTACGAGGGTAACAAGTTTAGGACCTATTTATTAGGACCGGATATGTAGTTCTGGTAGGTGTTAAGTTACTCCTTATCACTTTTGCCATGGTGTCAACTTTAGCACCTATTTATTAGGACCGGATATGTAGTTCGGGAGCCGTATTAATAAGAATTGTCTTTGAAACAATCTATGTCAATATAATTGAGGTGAGTGTACTGAATAGGCTATACATATTGGAACTGATTTACGAACTATATACTAATTAGTTTGTTTTGTGGTAAGTGGTTGCACGCGCTGATTGAATCAGACGATATTGTTTGGCAAGATTGTAAACACAATGATTGTCCTCCTGTGGGGGTACGTAAGTCCCAAACATTCAAAGTAAATTTAAACATACCAATATTTTTAAGCGTAGAATATGTGTTATTTTAACTTATGGCTAAATAGTCTAAACTTGCTGACGGCTGAAGGGATGGTGTAAATCCAGCTAGGGTCCATGCAGGAAGCAAATGTACTGTAAGTCCCCATGGTCCCCAGTATGGTGTCGTCATATGAGCGAAATATTCTCAAGCATGACGTAAAACCCAATTTCACCTCACCCTAGTATGGTGATCTACCTTCAGTCGTTAGCAATCTACAGCCTGTTTTTATATTGTATTGTCATTTATAGTTCCAATATTTTAGATTAAATTGCTAGTTTTAAATGGATATCTGTGATACACTAGTAGTTTTACTGTTCTTCGTCAACAGGTTTTTTTTAATTTCTAACTTTATTCATCTTTGATGTTATTATAAAATGTTCTCGTCACGGTATGGCTGAAATATTGCCGATGTGACGATAAATATTAACTCACTCACTCACTCACTGTAAACAAAATGTCTACGAGTACTGTCACTGAAACTGAAGTACGAAAGGGACCTCAGATATGAGAAAACCAAATTGGTCAGCAGATGAAAATTTATTACTTGTACAATTGATAGAAGAACATAAGAGTGTTTTGAGAGGGAAATTCTCTCAAAAGGTATCAGTGAGTACAAAGAAATCTGCATGGCAGGCGATTGCCACCCAACTGTCAGTGGCCTTTCCTCACGTCGTCAGAACGCCTGACGAATGTGAAAAAAAGTGGTACAACATTCTATCAAAATCTCGCCAGCAAATTGTTTCATATAATCGACAAATCACTGGAACAGGTTCCGGTAAAATTCCAGCATTGAAACTAAATTGTACCCTAACAAACAATGACGATATCAATGTGACAATGTTTTTATAGATGAAAATGAAATGAAAAATGTTTCTATTTCATAACTAGATCAAGCAGTATTATCAGGGTTGATGATGAGGATAACACACATAATTTTTTTATTTGATCCAAGGCCTATGATTGCTTCTGCAGGAATTAATTGTTTCCAGTTAACATATGTATAAAATGCAGAATAAATATTGGAAAATGCAACGCTCAGAAATATGTTCATTGATTTTCATCGCATCATTATATTTTGTGCCATTTACATGTACATGCCATTCGATGAAGCAACTTTTCAAAACAAACAAAAAAGGACTAACAACAAAAAATTTAAACATAATCTGTACAATAAGCAGAATATATAAATAATAACATAATATCTAATCAATGAAAATGCAAAGGGATAATAAGTTAATTATATTATTTGAATGACAACATTTCTCTATCATTAGTTTAAAAGTGTGATGTACAGATACGGAATCAGAAATATTTAGTCAGTGATAAAATGATGTCAAATGTTTATATTTTAATGTTTTAATTATTATATGTTATTTTTAATCATATATTTACAGGGGGTGGTCGAAATACTGCCAAACTTTCAGCTGTAGCTCAGACAGTCCACGACATCCTGGGTGAAACAAATGTTTCCATTTCTGGACTGGAGGAAGGCATTGACACCTCCTTTCTCCAAGTCATTGATATGACAAGGTAAAATTGCAATTGAAATTGCAAATACATAATTATATAACCAAACATTATTAAAATAATTAGTACCATTTATGCTAAATGTGTGAAGTTGTTCTCCTTTTGGGTTTTTATAAGAAATATCTACATGTATCTTGTTAGAAAATAGATATTAGCAGGGATGAACGTATCACACACAGGATGAACAGTTGCTGGTGTGTGGAGGACAGGTATTGATGATTAGTCAATATTCAGTATATCGAGTATTTGACACCCTGAAACATTTTATATCGTAATCAGTTTACATAATCAACATGGATACATACAAATAAAAACATCACAATAATATAAAAAAATATTCAACAGCATTGTATCTTACAGTATAATAACATGTGCACTCATTATTTCTACTCTTTATATATACAGTTCACTGGATAAAGAGAGCCTGTTTGCAGCAATGCCTCCAGTGCAGACAGTGCAGACGGCGCAGCCCACATACAGTATGCACATGCAGGACTTCCAGCCTGTACAAAATCCACCACTGCCTTGCCCAGATCAGGATAGGGACCATCAGGCCAGGAAGCGCCAGCTGGAGCTTGATGCCCTAGAAGCTCAGCTGCACTGAAGATCACAAAAATTAAAAATGAACTTTAAGCATGATATGTAGAAATTTCCATCAGATAAATGGACTCAAACATATTAATTATTGCTTAAGAAAACTTCCTTTGGCTTTTAGTATGGTAAGAAAATGTAAACAAAAAATACATTATGACTAACGATAATGAAAAGAGTACTTACCTACATGCTTATATCATTAACATTTGTATCAATTCTATCAATTATATGTGTTCATGACTTTTCACAATAAAAGCATTACCAATTATTAAGTTTTGGATGACATTTTTTCATAGGGCCTACGTCATTTTCAAAATACCCATTATTTGTCACCAGATGTTTACATGTACATAGGTATGCGTAGATATACAGTATTGTTTCATATTGCATATGAAACATGGCTTGAGCAGGTTTGACTGCATCTGGTAGCATGCAAGATATAAGTCATTTTCACATTACCCATTATTTTCCAGCAGGTGTTTACAAGTACATAGCTATGTGTAGACTCATAATATTGTTCATGTTGTACATGAAAAACGGCTATTTTCTGGTGTTAAATCAATGTATCCTTCACCAAACTTTCCTAACCAGGTGCTCTTTCCATGCTTTGCTTGATTGGGTACAATCACATAATAAATATAGAACAATCTCAGGCACCTATTTACAAGATGAACACACAGATGAATCAATGTATCCAATCTTATGCAAGTGATTATTAGTTGTCAAAATATTCTGAATTATCTTGTATTGAAACCAGTTTAGATTAACATTTTGAGTACATCGATTAGCCATCAAATTAATATTTTACAATTTATTCTGTTGGAAGACTCAAACAAATATTTCTTCCCATTTTTATTATCCATTTGTAACATAGTGTTTTGTGAAACTGTTTACTACAAGTTATTTTGGAGATACTTGGATTATGGGTCCGTGATTGCATTGCTCATACCTATGCCAGTTTAGAAAATGTTTTCATGATCATAATATCGTTGTAAAATGGTAGGACCAAAATTGTATGCCATTTTTGACAGTGTGCCTGATTAGACAGGTGCTGATGTTGGCTGGTTTCACTGTAGTACAAGGTAAATTAGGGCAGGCAATTATGTTTTCCACATGTTTAAAAGTGAAATTTCTCCTTATATTATATTCAATCAAAACATTGTTGTTGTGCCAAAGTGATTGATGTATGACCTCTGTACTATGAGTCTCATTCTGAGCAAATTGTTACATATTCAGACCATAACTCCACAACATCCATCCATAATCTATTTCAAACAGTGGGTAAGATATATTTGTTATAAAAACCATCCGCAATCCACAGGATTACATAGTGAAGCCTTTTCTATACATGTAGATTTGTCTCACAGCAGTCGTGTAATCCATGCAAGTTTTGGGGATTTTATAATATTTTCTACCTTTTGGAATACTAAAGCCTCCATTTTCATACTTCATCTTCTTAGATTTACACTATCTTAATTAAATTTTGAATACATATGGAGCAACTACTGAACTGCTACTATTTGATTTTCATAAATGGTTAAAAGTAAATTATATTGTTGATGCTTTTTGAAAATTTCTTTTGTCATTAACTTGTATTTATTTATCTGTTGTCTGTTGAATTGAACACAATAAAATTGGTTGTTCAAGTTAAATACTTTCTTTCTCATTGCATATAAGATTATACCTTTCAATTTAGAAGTGAGTGTTTACAAACTGCTGTCTGTACCGGAGACCATTCCCAGCTGGTTGGACGATTGGCAAGTTGAAGCCATTGTTGCCTGGTAGTGGAGGATTCCCTGGAGGCAGGCCAATGTTTCTGTCTTTGCAGATGTTTTGCAGCATATCACAAACTGTTATAACCTGTTAATGTGTTATATTACATTTGATATAGGGTCTTAGATTCTGAGGTACATTGTAAGGAATAAAAAAAATGCCTCTCTATTTTGAATTACCATTAGAATTAATTCTGTAGTTTTGGAAATAACTCAATCTCATTACATACATTTCACAGTCACCTTTGTGTAACAATACATGAAAGCATTTCCATAATAAATGATGATTCAAATAATTTCATATGATTAACAATATCACAATTTCATCAATAACAATGGAGGTAAGACATTGAATTTACAAACCTTTGCCGCCTTTTTGGGTTTGAGACGAATTTCACCATGAAGACGTGAAATCTTTTCATCTGTCCTATGCCGCGTTCCACTACACATCTAGTTGCTTTGTGTGCACTGCAATATTTCATATTACTTATAGAAATGTAGAAAAATCTGTGATATCATTTGTTGTTAATATAGTAAAAAAACTACATTTGCGGGGAGGCTATATTTGATGTCAAACAAATTTTGTGTGTATATTTTTGAATAATATGATTATTCAAATAGGTCAAATATTAAAGGTATAAACAAAATAAGAAACATACCTACATTAATATATCAAAATAAAATTAATGAATGATAATCATTCACAAAGTAAATATTTTCAAGGGTTTTGAATTATTCTACACTTAAATAAACATCACAGTAATGTAGAGGTCTAGGAGTCTCAGACTTAAAATTGTTTAACTATATTATTATAATATTATTTACTATATACATGATAATTATATATATACTTGCATTGTTTTTATAAGGATTTGTTACGTTCCAGTATAATACAATGTATTTAGGTATCCCGTATGCCAAGGGAAGTCACTCTCATTCTTCATGTTACAAGTTTTCATAATATTTACCTGTTGTATCTTGTCTGTTGTCCAGCCTGTGGGTGAATAAATGGTGTCAAAAGCCACCTGCGACACGGGTAACCACTGTCTCAAAGCAAATGGCAACCATTAGGTATGATTCCATTTTCAAACAATAATCTCACACCACTTTCGTTCAGGATACGTGCGTAATGTGTAGCACCCGGCCATTTCGCAACTATGTCGGAGATTCTGTCGTCGGAATAAAAAACCACCTGAACATTCAACGAATGGAAGTTCTTCCTGTTAACATATTCATTCTCATGCTCGGTTGGTGCAAATATCTTCACATGGGTGCCGTCTATAACCCCTACGACACCCGGGAATCCACCAATGGCATGAAACTGGCGTTGATGGCGTTGTATTTCTTGACGATTTATAGGCATTCTTATGAAACGGCCAATAAGTTGTGGTTTACAAAAGCATTTAAAGTCTATGTGATGACATTGCTAACTGAGGGTTGACTTATTCCAAAGTCATCTCCGTTGCAAAATTGCATGTTTCCTGTGGCAAGGTACCGAAGGGTAATTGCAACTTTGCTGTCAGCGTCTATCGCCATATTCCGCTTGGTTGGAGACGTTAGCTCATTTCTCACCAAATCGGTCACAAACCTCATGCCAGCACTGTCCAGGCGGTACCGAGATATCAATTCAGTATCATTATATTCATTAAATACATCTTTTTCGTGGTCGAAAAACTCTCAGGTGGTGTCGCTGAGCAGCCGTCTTTTCTCAGGTAAGAAAATTCTTAACTTGCTAGGAGTGCATGATGAGGACTCCTAACACTTTGTAAAGTTAAGAGTAATTCTAAGAGTAAAATCACTTTATTAATATCACTTAAGAAAAATCTTACATTTGAGATTACAAATTGATTTATTCTTAGAATTAACCAGTGTTAAGAATTATTTTTCACTCTTAGAATCTTTATTAATACGGCCCCTGGTAGGTGTTAAGTTACTCCTTATCACTGTTGCCATGGTATCAACTTTAGCACCTATTTATTAGGACCGGATATGTAGTTCTGGTAGGTGTTAAGTTACTCCTTATCACTGTTGCCATTGTTATTGACGTCTAAAGCTGCATTGTTCTGCATATATATATCTATGACGTCTATTGTGGGCCTAATTATCAGTGTATCATTGCTGAATCATGAACGTCAGAAATATACTCACCACACATTGAAAATGTCCCCAACAGAGTTGATCCTATCCATGACACTTTGACCAAATCACCGTCAATTTCCTTTAAAATAGCTGGCGTTAGCACCCCAACAGAGAAGATCAAAACGCCATAGAGGAACTCGATAGTAAAACAAGCAGCAAGGACTACCTTGGCATATCCTCGGTCATTATTTGCAGGCATGTTTGGTTTCATATGTAACACGTATTCCTGTATAAAATTTCTCCCTTGTGTTTCGTTCCTATCTGATAAGATCAATGTTTCTGAATGGAAGATCACACAATTTGCCAATATTATAGCCGCAGCTTAGCGTGCTACGCAAATTAGATTCTATTTGTATGCATATAAAGAACACTTAATGCGTGAAATTGTAAACAGGCATTTGCACATCAGCCGTGATGCATTATAACATTGTATCCATAAGGATAATCAAACTTGGATAGAAACTGACAGTCTATGTCCAAACTGTACTTCCTTTGTAGTATGGTGATCTACCTTCATGTGTTGGCAATCTATAGCCGCTTTTTATATTGTATTGTCATTTATTGGTAAAATATTTTAGATTTAATTACTAGTCTTAAATTTATTCCTGTGATAGTCTAGTTATTTACTGTCCTTCGTTGACGGGTGTTTAATAATGTAATTGTTTTTATTGTTAATTTATAACTTTTTAAGTCACAATATGGCTGAAATATTGCCGATGTGACCATAAATTTTAAGTCACTCACTCCTTTGTAGTCGTGTACAACTAACTGGTCTTATTTCCTCTCAAATGCTTAATTCACATATACCAAGAATAAGTGGGAAAACAAATTTAGCCTTACAAAATGTGTTCAATTATTCTTGAGAAGAAAAAGAAGCCAGTAAGGTTAAATTGCTCTCGGATTTGAATTGTTGTACACTGTATAACTGTATGTACATGTAGCAGTTTGGAAATGATGTGAATTTGTGAATAGACTAAACAAAATGACTACTACCTTTATATTTGACAGACAAATGAGTCTGACGGATGAGTAATATGTCTGTTAAGGAATCACAATGTGTGGGTAATGTACATTTCTGCAAAGGGTAGGACATGGAAAACTGAAGTGTAACTTCAACAGAAAGCTTTCAACAATTGCTTGCATGTAAAGTGTGCATGATGGTAAGGAAGGACAACAGCACAATGGACTTGGAATGTTGCTGCAACAAGACCGGATGATAGTGAACTTGGTGTACTTCCAGGTTGGGACAGTAACGTACATTTCATTTTCACATACTCAAAGCCTTATTTCCGAATGACTATTATACTTGTGAAGCTGAATGTTTTGGTACAAGCTGCATGTATCAAACCCTTTAACACACAGAAGATCATGCAAAATAATGTCATGTGTTACACATGACAATGAGACATGATATGGGCCTGCTTGTTGGGTCCGACTGTGGCAGCAGTAAACAATGGGGACAGCCGTAAACAAACCACAGGATCGAGTGAGTGCTTTACATATGGTAGGTCAGCTTAACCTAACGTGTCTTTGTCAACGCCTTCGGGCCAGGTGGCCGACTGTAGTTGTTTTCACATGTAGCATTGTTTTGGTGAATACTATTGTGAAAAATGTAACAGACGATATCTACTCTTTTGTCCACGTTATTGATTAATCTCACACCAACATTTCACATAGGAGAGACACATTTTTGTGTTTTAGACATCAACTTACCTTGTCCAAACCGATTCCCGCGTATCCCACTTCACACTATTATTGAACAAATGTCTGTTTACATAAATCAGTTTTAGTCTGGACCATGTATCGATAAACATTGTTATAGATATTTCTGGCTACGATCCTTGGAGGAAAATAGCATGCGCCGACTCTATCAATTAGTATAACTGTGTCTGGTGTATATCCAGGGATTATCAACTGTACCTGTGCCCAATGTGGTTCTTCTGTCGTTCAAAGGTAGTCTACTGTGTAATTCCAAGCCATTACCTCCAGTTATATAGCTTGGCTACATCCATTGTTCCATTTATTCCATCTGCCATGACAGATGATATTGTATGTTAATGTGGAGAATTTTTGAATTGGCAAATATTTGTTCTCTTTATCGTATACTATATCTTTTGGAAACATCGGAGAAAGTGAAAACAAGGGAACTTTTTTGTACACGTAAACAAATGTCAAACTCGTCTTAAAACACTTGGAATCTCTGCTGGCATCACGCTTGCTGTGATCCAGATAGTCACTGATACATCTCCAGATACAGATAGTTATGGTTCAGAATTGTGCCATAACATTTCTGAGAAATATGTTTACCATTCTATATTTTTATAACCATACACATATGTAATTTTCCGAATAGTGTTGCCCTTCATCATTAATCACTTAAAAAACCATACTTCGATTCACTTGATTGATATAATTGCCAGTCATAACTATTATTGGGATTAACTATGATATATCTATGTCACTTGTTATGATTTACAAAGTTAGATATTAATTATATACTCTCCCCAAAAAGAAACGCACATAGGAATTTCAACTGTATGTTTATGTTTATTTTGAAACATCTTGTAGGCTTTATGAGTCAATGAAATATAGCGAAATTGCACACTGGGAATGCAGACGTATCCGTCTTTGGCACCAACTCGAGGAAAGTCAGTTTGAGTGTCACATGGAGACGTGTGGTGGCGCTGAAGTCAATACCTCGTGTGACCACCGCGGGCATCCAGAACTGCACGGCATCGCCTCGGCATCGAACGAATAAGTCTCAGAATCTCGTGTTGCCAAATCGCAGCCCACTCTGCCTGTAGTGCCTGTGCGAGTTGCTGAAGTGTCCGTCGCTGAGGGTTACATCGTCGCACCCGTCTGTCCAGGGAATCCCACAGATGTTCGATCGGGTTTAAGTCCGGTGATCTTGAGGGCCAGGGTAGCACATTGATGTTGTGGTTCTGGAGGAAGTCTCTAGTGTGACGTGCTGTGTGGTGCCTGGCACTGTCCTGTTGAAACAACTCCCTCTGGCGATCAATGATTGGAAGGAGGTGTGGGCGTAGGATTTCGTCACAGTTCCGTTGAGCTGTCAGGTTGCCCTGGATCATCACCAAATCACTTCTCCTACGGCAGGTGATCTCTCCCCACATCATAACACCGCCCCGGCCGAATCTGTCCACCTGGGGAACGCAGGCGTCGGCGAAACGCTGACGTCGACGTCTGCTTTTTTCATGATGCGTTTCTTTTTTGGGAGAGTATATATCTTTAATCCGTGTGAGGATATGTAAGCTTTGACCCCGAGACGAAAAAGGAAGGTGTAAACCCCAGGCTGGCCAG